ATAAATAAATTTATACCATTATTAACCATTTGACGTCAATATAATAATTTACAGACGTAAGATGACGACTAAGAAGATAGAGGAATAGACAGTATAGATAGACAATAGTAAGCATTACGGAGACAAATAATAAAATCCACCGCCAATATTATGATCGCAATAGTATTGATCATTTATCTATTTAAAAATCAAATCAATTCTATATTAATTCATTTCTTAAGCTATTTCTAGTAACTTGATCATGATTGAATTAGTGAAAATTTTGTTGCCATAGTTATGGTGTAAATAAACTCAAATCAAACCTTCTGGTATTATAAACTTAAAAATTTCCTGAAGTAAACAACAAGTTATTTGTAATTTAACGTCAATAAAAAAGATTTAGTGTTACATGAAGAGAACCTATAGTTGACCAATAATTTCGGTTTAGTTTGATATATTTATATCCCTCCTAAGAGTCACAGATTAATCCACTAGATTTTCTATTTAATTGAATTGAGTAAAAAATATTAAAACTTAGGGTAAGGCTATCATATTTAGGATCAATTACTATTTTCATCGATAGAATAAAGCATTCAACACTAATTGAGATGTAAATTATAGATGATTGAATCAATTGTATTATACTCACTACTTCTAAATTAGCCTCAATTAACATCTCTATCTGCATATTTAACTTAACTGGTTGTAACATAGGATTGATGATGAAGAGTGACTATGGTTTCTCGAATTAATATTCAACTGTAACTATTCTATTTATTGAAACCGTCATAGAATTGACTGAATTAATAGATAAAATTGATTTAATAATTCTGCTAATCCTTTATTGAATTAATAGTGTGGTATCCTTTACAGATTTAATCCAGGTGTGCAAAAAATCTGTTTATGACCTTGACATTAGTATTACAATATATTGATTGCCTTAAGACCATGTAATTTCAAATTAGCACTAATAGCTATTCATCTTATCCACTGAAATGATGTTTTGATGACAATTTTAGAGCTTTGTTATCATATTTTTAATATGAACAGCTAAGTGCCTAGCTTTTGTTCGCTAAGAAAGGTGGATAATTTGCGTATTCTAATTCATTTTTGGTATCATAAATAAAATTTTCAGTTGTGTCATCGTAGTAAAAGCCTAATATTGAGAATTTAGTATTTCAATCATTAGTACTGCACGAAATTAGCAATTCACAATATCGCTACATCCCCGGTAGTAACATGTGATATGTTAACTCTAGTCATCCTACGTGAATATTTCATACTCGTTGTAACATTGCAATGCTCTGAGATATCGTCACAGTTACATAAAATTTATCAATAAGAATACTTTCTAGATAATCGAACTTGTTATTTTATGAATATAGCATAACTTGTACAGTATCGATTGAAAGATTCTATAAGCATACGAGCATAAAAGAAACATTTACGATCTTTCAAGTGTAAGTAAATTTTTAATGTGGACAAGCAATGTTAATTGAAATAACGTCTGCTGTACAAATTACTGAGATAGACAAAATAATGTACTCGTATGTACTTTAAAAAATAATCCTTTAAGTAAATCTCTTTCACCACTAGAGCAACGTATATTTGCCTGTATGCTATAAAATATAACATCAATTTCAATGATACATAAATTTCGGTGGTCAGCGATAAGAATAACTTAGCATTTAATCTCACCTGTCATTTATTTAAATATTTTTACTTCCACTGTGCTAATGTGCAACGATTTGATCCTGATAAATCAATCTAATTCTGCAATAATCCAGGTTTAAAACGATTTTTACTTTCCCTTCCTCTATATCGTTAGCAGGCTAGACCTTTGCATACAGTTCAGTAATGAACTATTCTTAACATGAATGTAGACATATTGTAATTTTTTAATTCTTAAATAAAAACGTTATTGTTTACAAGATAAAAATAATGTAAACAGACATTACCTTGATCTAGCCGAATATCGTATCTATTTGGTGACGATGGTAGCATAATGGCTATTCTTATCACGTATGTCGATTGCAAATAGATAGTGTAGCAAATATAATATATCCTGAATGATCAATTCTTTTTGTGTATTCTTTTATTCATGACGACTATGCAATAAAAATGAATTATTTGTGGTTAAATTTTGATAGACTCAACTTTTTGCTTAACTCTTGATTCGGCTAACACCATCGACGGTCATTTATTAAAACAACTATCATTGAGTAAAGAATAATATTCATCATCGATAACTAGTGCGATAGACAAATAAAACTTGAATTAATCTGTTTACCTCCGAATAGAATACAATACCAGGATATCTAATCTATTCTAAAATCAACTGAATATGATTGATCGGCTTCTAGGTTGATTGATTGATTGATTGATTGATTGATTGATTGATATAAATTAATTAAAGTGCTGGTCAAGTACAATACTAGCATAAATATCGATAAAATTTGACGAAGATGATAGCTCATATCAAAATGAAGGCAATCAAAAGTGATTTATAGCATAAGAGTAATACCGTAAAAATGCTTAAATTCGTGTAGAATAGAGCAGCTATGTTAAGCATAGCAAAGTTGTAGACACTTTCCCCAGTAAAGAATAGCGAAGGAGTTAAAGTTATTTATAAGACAGTTCCTTGTCTCTACCCTTACTTGTGGTAAAGATTTGCAGTTAACTCTAGTGCAGTCACGATAGTTCGGGCTACTTCCCAAGTATTTTCAGTCTCTATATGAACGATTTATGAGAACTCAATTCTTCTTGACTGACCGAGTATTAATTAATTGCTACACTTTTCTTAACGTTACAACTCCTGCATGCTTTCTTAAGCAAATGTTACTTTAGTTTTATAACCACACAGGCTTAAACAGATTAATACAATTTCTATAGTGAATTTCAGTTTTAAGTGGCGTAAATACAAATTTTACAAGTTATGTAAATTAGTGTTTTATATCCAATTACTAAACAGAAACGAGTAGGGAGACATTTTGGAACTTAGGGTATTGAAATACTCATGCTCCGTCCAAATATAGTTCAATTGACTTAGAGCTTAGCACACTGAAACTAAATTCCTAAAATGGACGCATAAAATTCTAAGTACTGCTAGGTTTGGTTATCGTCAACAAGGTGGCGAGCAATGAACTAGTTATATATATATATGATTATTTAATTGATAACGCAATATCATGACATTCTCATATAAACATAAACAATTTCAACAATGAAAAATTCAATTTAAAAGTTCCTTTTACGGTACATAATTGCGTACCATGCGTGAGATAAAAGGTCTCTTCAGTTGTTAGCTTATTTCCGTAATAGACAGGTACCAAAGAAATTTAAGTTCAAGACTTTGATGTTACGTTGTTTGCTCACAGACTTATTTGTGACGAGTAGTAACCTTCAAAATACTGCAAATATCAAGATAGGAGATAGCAAGCAACGGTCTTTACGTCATTTTTAGATACTTCACTTGTCGAAAACAACAATGTAGAATTAAATGCAATAGTTACCATGATAGTCAAAGAGTATATAGTGGCAAAGGATTATAAGTAGTAAAGAAAAACTATAGGCGCTTTCAATGACCAGACACGACGGTCTTTGTATAATTACAACACAATCTTAATGTACAACGTACGTATGTTAATGTAGAGGATTTAATCTACTTAATATAATTATAAATTACCGAGTATGAATTAGCTCTAGAGTATGTTAAGGGGTTCCAAAGTCGTATATCATGGATCCTTGATTAATCCGTGATGAGTATTACGAACACTAACCGATCACTTCATTCTATTCACAAAAGCTACAGCATAATATAATAAAAGTTCTTAATTTTGACTTATAAATAATAACTATCAATAAGACACACCGTTAAATCATGTTCATTCTCCTAATATTAAGATAATATCATGGTATAAATTTACCAACGTAGCTCCCTACTGATGAAAATCATAGGATCTATAACACTATCTTTTAATCATATGAGTAAACTAAATATCTTTCCTCAATAGCTATCTTATGATTTCGAGCTCGTTACTCTATTCTAAACTGAACGACAGTGATTTATTTACTAGGTCGTTCACGTATCTAAACATACTCTGAAATGATTCTGCTAAATTATAGTGAAGTATTGGAGTAACCGTAAAATTTTGCTTTGATTATAAAAAAATTATAAATTCTGATGCGAAACGAATAGATTATGATTATTACTACTTATACAGGGGTATCACAAATAAGTATGCAATCATTATCATAGTTAGTGATTTTATAATTAGTGGATACAGCTTGGATTATCAAATACTGCTATGTGTTCAAACACTCATCACTAATGTATAATTTATCAAAAGAAATAAATTAGAGTGTTGATCGGAATAATTGGTTAATTTAAAATGAGACAATTAATCCACATGTGGAGTTGCACGCTTATGCTACACATGAGTAAACTTTCTATAATGAAATAGATAAATAGAGTTTAAGCGAAAAATCCGAATGTAGTTATAACTTGTGAAATATTAGACTGTGTCAATACAGTAATAGTGAAAATTATATAAAGTATAATAACTGAAAGTAGAACTTAGTGGTTTTAATCAATAAACATGATAGTCGTCATAGTAAGAAAAAAAGTCTTCTTTAATTTCTTAAAGAGAATTCACTCACTTAATCTTTATAGTAATCTATACAAGTGGCATCAAATCAATTACTGTGAAGTTTTCATTTATATGAATAACATATTAATATTCGTTAGCTTTCGACATACTCAATCCTAGATCCTAGTTAATTATGAAGTTACCGACGACTATTACATTGACTGTATACGGTAAAAATGAAGTCTGAACATCATTATTATGAATCGCATATCAACGTAGCAAAATATATGCATATAGGTTGATAGTATTAAAGATAAGCGCTCGTAATCTTGCAATAGTACCTATGCATATCTACATAGGTTTGCTTTCATATATATATTATATACGCACTTTATAATTATCAATCATTTTAAAACTAATAATATCCCATTTTCAGCCTTGCTGCTTGAGTACAATTTTTCGACGTTGATATTCCAATGCGTTTTGCGAGCTACTAACTACAATTGGCTTAAATTTTACTTTCGACGTTGAATTTCCATCAATATTGCTATTGTGTACAGCATTAGATCGCGAACAACAACATGGGAAAAATAATTGCCGAATTTGTTGATTATAAATGCAATAAATGATAGGATTATAAATCGACGAGATAGGTATTGAAATTCTCGCTAACGTGGCTAATAGCATGAGTAGTACATTTTTATCATCTGCTAGTTCGGAAGTAAATCGCCCGGTAACGGAACCAAAAACAAGTGCAGCAGCCCATGGTCCAGTACAGATTAAAAATATAATTGTTGTCAGGAATAACATGTAAATAGTCTTACGTTTTAATTGCTTACTTCTGATAGATTCATTTCTTGTAATTGAATTTTTACTATTTAATCGACGTAGTATTTTACTATACAGGAAAATCATAATCATAGCAGGAAGAATAAAGTAAGTTACTGCCAAAATCGTATGCCGTATAATCACAAGTGTATTATGCTTGGTATTCATTTCGCATTGATAACCAATATTACCAATGGAGTTTATAAATAGACTAGCCAAGGTCAATGATGCTAGCCACGATATTACTACCAATACTCCGACTCTTCTACTAGTTAACTTTTTATTAGCTTTTAAAATGGCGCGATAGCGCTCGAAGGATATAATCATTAATGTTTGTATTGAACCTGTATAACCTATGTACGTCGGAATCATAACGATTTTGCAAAGGGTAGTAAACGGACCTTCTGCCATTTTCAATCTCATAGCAATCATGGTACTTATTACCAGTAGAGCCATGCTAATTGACGTCAAGATATCGCATGCAGATAAATTGGCCATTAAATAATAGGTTGGCTTTCGTAATGATTTCTTTGTAAATGTTCCTACTATGATAATAGTATTTGACGCTATACCAAAGAAATTCATGGAAAATACAAGGTAAATATTTCTTAAATAAATAACTGTTTGATTGGTGTTCATAACAGATTCCGTTGCTGCAGAAGTTAAATTAGTTGGACAAATTTGAGTTTTCATTGATTCTATGACCATGGTGCTTAGTTAAGGGCAAAAAATTTATAGAATTTAAATTAGCTTTGATTTGTTATCTTTCCATGCGTAAATAAATAACTAATAAAGTTCATTTAATTAAGACATTCCATGAAGATATCTTGCTTACAACAATACTTCTTTTTGGAGGTAAATCAAGATGAAATTTGTATGTCAAAATTTAGAAAGTAATATTCATTTTAACCGATAGACAACACAATTAAATTTTTTAAAGGTTACATTTATAGGTTTAGATGTGATTTTAGATATATCCAACTCATACCACACAAACAAGATCTCCTTAGACTAGAATACAATGCACGGGTATTTTTGTAGCCTGAAAAGATTTCATCCGTAGCTAATGCAATGTATCATCATATTAAGAGCATTTAGATTTTGGATTATATACCAACGCTGTCTAAAATACTAAGCCCATTTCTGGTAATTTTAGAGATGTAGTGATATAAAATTTTTATAAAAAAATAGTTAGACTGATCTACTCAAGGTTAAGTCACTAAATTATTATGTATAGAAATGCAAGCAAATACAGTATACTGTATTTTAAGCCTAAGTTATAAAAGAGAAAGTAATTTTTGTATCTTAAAGCTAAAAAAGATTTAAAGTTACTTAGACTAATTAATGTAATTTGTTGAATCAAATAAAATCAAAAAATTTTTCTTACAATTTTCTAAATTAAATAAAATCAATTATCTAGAAAACTATTCCGAATGTATACGCGTAAGTACCATGGTGCACGATTTCGTTAGAAACTTGATTTCCCAATTAATTTGTAATACCAATTAATTCAAATCACCTTTAATAATTGAATAGAATTATTAAATATTCCTTTTCTAGCTAAAGTAGCAATGATTAATATAATCTAAAATTTTTTCCGCACGGATATTATTGTTGCCTTTCTATGTTATACATTTTTAAATTAATCTATTGTTATAAATCCGAATATTATAAGAGAATAATTTATTTTTTAATTAATATTCTCTTTGATAATAGATAAGCTTTCTGTCAAACGAAAATGGATCAGATAGAATTTATAAAAGCTTTTCCAGAAACTTGTCAAAGGGGTACCCGATAGCGATAAGAACCAACTTTACAATAATCGTAACTTGAAAATGTCTTAGAGAAAAATTTTTAATACCTATTAAGCAACATTATCCTACACTTTATCGTGATAATAGCTGTATAATCGTTAAAGACTGAAAAAACTCCCTGCGTTCAGTAGTATAATTAAACTAGGATCTATAGTCTTTCAACAGTAATGTTCATTCAGTCTTCATCTTCAGTTTTAAAGTCATTGGTAAATAGAACAAAAAATTGCGTGAGCAATTATAATTATTTAATTAAAACTATAACTTAACCGGATCAGTTCACGATAATAAAACTCCTTTGTTGATTTGCATCGTCTTTACAAGATAGAGATAGTAAATTTATTTGATTAAATTTATTATATTTTTATTAATTGACAACAAAAGATACATTTCTAACGAATAGAATTGCTTTTACAATATAAATTATGTTTTCTAAATACTAACATAATAGATTAATACTTATAATTCTTCTGGTATAGTTAAATGGACGAAAACTCCTTGGCTATTAATATATCATTTAACATGCTCATAGATACTAGACATTGACAGGTATTATTTTTTAAAATATTTCGGGTAATTGTACAAATCTTTCTCTCTCTTCATTAAGAAATGGCCCTATTGAAAAATAATTTGGCATAATATGAACTGATACTTATGAAGATAGAATTTATTTTGTAAGATTAGTAGACGAAATTTTTATAACAAAAAACTATGAATTCCTCGTGTTAGCTAAGCTGGATTTTAAATTATTAATATCTCAGTTCGAATGAACTGCGTAAGTTTTTTATTTAGTCACAAACTGCGGGATAATAAATTATTTTTCTAACTTAAAGGTATCCTATTATATGTCAATATTATTATCAATAGACTGTTGACGTACCCATTCCAGTTGATTACTAGGTACTACATTTATTAAAAATTGCTCTCATTTTATCGCAAATTTATGATCATAACCCACTTTTAATAGAAACTAGGCATTAAAGCAAATCAATAGCCATAAATTAACTACCGGTTTTTTTATTCAAATTTCGATACCTAAATTAGGCCATTGTCAAGAAAATTCGAACGAATCTATGATGGATTTAACAATAATTTATGCTCTTTGAGGTTGTCTAATAACAGTATAATTAGTTTCTCCTTATTTCAACGAATATATACGTATCTATACATAAATGATATATATAATTAGTCCATGTGCACTAGTGAAATTCCCAACTAGCGCACGAAGATTTATAATGTTACATATTTACATTTTAGCTCTCCATCCACCATTAGTATCGAATGAAATGACTTATTTATTTAGGAGACAAAGGAGACCGTCTGTCAACAGGATCAATCAAAGCAACTTGGTTACAAGTCAAATGAAAGAATCGATAAACCATCAAGTTTCATTCATTTTAGATTTGGCCCTTTCAACTCTTCGATCTGGGCAGCAATATCATTATTAAACCTTTGTTAAAACAGAATAGTGCAATGTTCGCTTTTCCTATTAAATTAGCTTGCAGCATTGTGCTGCAAGCCATGCCACCCACTAAATTCGACTTTAATTGTAAAATAATATTTTACAGTTGTTTTCGTAAAAATTCTCTTTCAGTAACAGTAAAGTAAATCCAATATTAATACAACTGAAAACACCATTTGAAAAGCTAAATATTTTATCCTGGACCAAAACACAAATTGCTTTTTGATGATTAATTATCAGAAAGTAAAATCAACGTAGTCGCATCTTTGTTGCTCATTATTGTAAGGTATACGTCATATTATCGCGAAAATAACTGGCGTGTATTCGTGTTTATTAGCAAGCGAAAATACAGTAAGTCCGATAATTGATATTTAATTGATACCCGTAGCTAACGAATGAACTATATTCATAGCTGAATTATTTCTTAACCAACATATATGTGCGCAATATGCAATAGTCTATTCAATCAATGCACATCTCAGCTTAGTGAACAAACCTCATGAATTGGTCTAATATTACAAGCTAGTACTAGGCCATTTTTGTGATTCGTGTGATATAGGAAAAATACGTATATAAAGTTTGAATTATAATTAATTTTATCTCAGTTCCACTGAGAGCAGCATAGAGTACACTAATTATAATGATATAATTAGCAATTAATAAATAAAATGCTTGACCTAAATTTCTATCCATTGACACTTATCTGTAGTACTAGAATAAGTTACTTTTCCTTACTGAGGATCCCCAAACTTAGTCGGAGATCAAATAGAATAGATAGGCAAGATTATGGTCGATCACGGAGCCATTTTCGACAATGCAATACTGCTTTACTGAAATATCGTATTATTGACTTAATTTTCTTTGATAACATCTATGTAATACTGTCTGATTAAAAGATGCATTATAGCGTTTATTTAATTTTCTTTCAAATTGCAGCTGGATAGTGAGACACATTGTACTGTCTAATTAAAATATTCTAGTATTCATTTAATTTTCTCGGAATAGTTGCTCATGAATAGTGGTATATGTGTTTTAGCATACATAAGACTATGTGATTGAAAGATGTATTATACTGTTTATTTGATTTTCTATGAAAATTGTAATTAGATAGTGAGAACTAGAATACTATCGGATTGAAATAAGTGTTCCAATGTTGATTTCATTTTCTTACAAAATTGCTGCCAGATAGCGATAGCCCTCTAGAAGATTGTCCAACTGAAGTATTGTTTTATTTATTTGCTTTAGCTAGAGCAGTGTCAACATTATTCTACGCCAACCTTTCGCTTTCAATGAAATGGAAAATCTTGGACAGACATATCTGTGAGCGACAGTAGAAATGCAACGCTTGACTCACTTGGGTCTAAATACATCAACGATTCATTTTTCTAGCACCTAATCACAGCTCAGTCATGGTAAACGATTTAAAATTACCCTATAATCAACTGCAATTCAACAAAATCATTGACTAGCTCTAAGGGTAAATATGTTAAAGAAGGATTTCTGCTCCAATTCAAAATTTCAATCCTAGCGATTTCATGAAATGACAGTTCGTTTGAGAAGGTCATCCCACCTGAGTATGACGTGTATTCTGCTGTCGAACGATATGTGACTGTGTTCACATTCTCGTATCTTCTATAGCATTTCTATAGCGTTTCATCCCACCAAAGTATGACGTATATTCTGCTGTCGAACGATACGTGACTGTGTTCACATTCTTGTATCTTCTACAGTACTGTACAGTATAGCAGTCGATCTGTATGAGTTGCCTCATTTCATCCCACCATAGTATGACGTGTATTCTAATGTCGAACGATATGAGACGGTGTTCACATTCTTGTATCTTCTATAGCGGTCGATCTGTATGAGCTGCCTCATTTCATCCCACCAGAGTATGAGGTGTATTCAGATGTCGAACGATATGTGACTGTGTTCACATTCTAGTATCTTCTATAGCATTTCTATAGCATTTCATCCCACCAGAGTATGAGGTGTATTCTGATGTCGAACGATATGTGACTGTGTTCACATTCTCGTATCTTCTATAGCATTTCATCACTCCAGAGTATGACGTGTATTCTGCTGTCGAACGATACGTGACTGTGTTCACATTCTTGTATCTTCTACAGTACTGTACAGTATAGCAGTCGATTTGTATGAGTTGCCTCATTTCATCCCACCATAGTATGACGTGTATTCTGATGTCGAACGATATGTGACGGTGTTCACATTCTTGTATCTTCTATAGCGGTCGATCTGTATGAGCTGCCTCATTTCATCCCACCAGAGTATCAGGTGTAGTCTGATATCAAACGATACGTGACTGTGTTCACATTCTTGTCTCTTCTATAGCATTTCTATAGCATTTCATCCCACCAGAGTATCAGGTGTAGTCTGATATCGAACGATACGTGACTGTGTTCACATTCTTGTCTCTT